CACTTTGAAGGACTTCATATAGAAGAACTAGGCAATAATACTCCAATATTGAAGACTGGACTGTGCTTACGGGACTATGGGAACCAAAAGTTTGGCCAGTATGCTTTAAGTAGTGATTGAGGGTACCAGCTCTGGGGCAAGACAGGTAGCGTTTCTGCCTTTAACTCTTTCTAGTCCGTGCTTCAGTGTCTTCTTCTGGCATAATAGCCTTTCTCGAGAGGTTATTTGAAAAGACCAAATGAGATGGTGTTGTGTGTAAAGAGCTTATCCTCATGTTTGGCTCCTAGTACATTGCAACTTTTATTCTTTGTCTCGCCCAGCCCGCTCCCCCTACACAATTCTTCAGATGAAGAGTTGGACCAAAATATTAATGAGCTAAGGTGCTGGGGCAGAGGACCAGTCTAGAAAGCTGAACCACTTACCACTTCACGAGTAGATGTCCTTTACTATCTGCATTTCCTCATTAGAACTTTAGAAAGTAGAGTAGTCAGGAGTTGGCATGTGGTAGAGAGAAGTGCAGGGATTACCTTTTTTTAGCATATCCCTTAATGAGTAACTTCATTTGATGTTATCAGTATAACAAATGTGTATATGTTTATGTATCTGTGTGTGTGTGTATATATATATATATGCATAATCAGTGCGTCAAATGAATATTTAGATATACAGTCAACTGTATTCATTTGCTACACGACCAGCTAGCCTAACAGGATGATATAAATTCTATCTCTCAGATCTTATAGGATAATAAAACTAAGAGGGTTACCTGATACAACTCTGAAGTAGATGAGAAGACTTGAAAGATGAATAGTTTAAGATTACATGACCAGTTATTTGCAGAGTTGAGCATAGAGTCCATTTTGACTGATCCCAGATTCAGTCATCTTTCCCCACTGAAATAGCTCTCTTGTTCCTAAGTTTGGCCTAAATGTAACTCTAATGTATCCTGGTCAGGAGAGCAACAAATTTCGGTTGTCACTCAGCCCTGCCACTCACTAGAGAAGTTATAGTGGCAAATTCACATTAAGCCTGGACTTCATCCCATGTGACATGTTGATAGTACCCATGTTATAAGGCCGTATGGGGAATTAATTGTGGGGGGGAGGGGAGGGAGAGAGAGAGAGCGCGCGTATGTGTGTGTGTGTGTGTGTGTGTGTGTGTGTGTGTGTGTGTGAGAGAGAGAGAGAGAGAGAGAGAGAGAGAGAGAGCGCCAGCCTGACATAAGCCTTCATAAATGATGGTATGCTTATGTAACTCCTTTACAAATTATCTTAATGTTGTAAAAATGTATAATATGTAGATTAGCAAAAAGAAAATGGAGAGCACCCAGAACACCGTCATCCAGAGATGATCTCAGACTTTTTGTATGCATTTTTCTCATTTAGTTTGGATTGTACCTAAATAATCTGAAAAATACAGCATGAAATTCTGTGTGTCAGCGATCCATTAGAAAGAACACTTCATAGTAATCGTGAAAGAAAAAGCCATAACAGAGACTAATCGTTATTTTTTCAAAAGAACAGAACATTACTACTAAGGTTTTGCCATATTATATCTAACAACATGTATATATACATTGAATCTCCTATTAGTTTTCACAGTAACTTTATTACTTTTTCTTTTCGTCTTTAAACTCCTACCTGAGCTGTATATGTTTCTGCCAGCAAGTTTTTTCCCTTAAATATAATGAATTGTCCATCCTGCAGACCTTGGAAATAAGTCTGACCAGATTAGACTTCCAGGGACTCAGAGAATGTTTTGATTCACGATGCTCATGTTTAAGTTGCAAAACCCTTTTGGTTCAAAGAAGTTTAAATCACTGCGAGGAGGAATGTCAGAAAACAAATTGTTAATCTCCTCGTTCAAGAAAAGTGATTTAAAGGGTCCTTTCCATGGAATGTCCATTGGTGTTCTAAAGTTTTAGCCTGGCTGGTCTTAGTTTGTTTTTGTTGCCTCTTCATTTTGTGGCCTGAGGCTAGTGAGCTGAAAAGATTAGTTTACGTCAAAGAGTTTTGCTTTCCAGTTTAAGGTTACTGAAGGAATGCTTCTCCTCAGTTGATTGTTGTCTGTGTGTTACCATCAGCTCAGACAGTTTTAATTTCTTAGACTTACAGTGGTGAATTGTAGGCTACTTTTAAGACTGTCCAGTCCCTTCCCTGGCATAGGGTTCCAGGCAGGTCTTTCCCAGGCCATAAAAGCTGGGCAGAGATGGGGGAGGCGGGGCGCCCAGTATGTCTGCGCACCGAAGGCAAATATAAAATTATATCCCAGGAAGAGAGTACCAGGAGCCACAGTTGAGAAAGTGTGAAGAAAGGTAGCTTCCTATAGGCAGCTGTAGGACACTAGGGTTCTGAGAGTCAAGAGTAGAAGAGCTATTGAGAATGACTTGAAATAGAGCCATTTTCAGGTCAAGAAAATGGTGGGGCTCACCTTGGGGTCCAGCTTTATTGGTGGCATCCTGTACTGGTGGGTTAAGCTTGTTAAAGGACCCTGGACAGATCAAAAGAAAACAAAGTTAGGGATTAGGAGGTTGTTACTAGCCTTCAGCAAGATTTTCCCTGAGTGTTATTAATGGTGTTCTTATTTAGGAAAATGTTGCTCATTTGAGAGCTGTTTGCTTCAGTACTTAGACTTACTGCCAATGCTGGCTTTCTTCCAATCCTGGTAATCCTCCGAGGTTTCACAAAGAAAGAAATGCTTTGTGTTGTTTTTCCCTTCTCCCCATGGGATAATTGGTTTATGTATAATTTAATTATTTTGTTAACCAGTTATCCTATCACAGCATACAAAAACAACCATAAAAACCCACCTTCCCAGTCTGTGCTAAGATGTTCATAATTGATTTTCTCACCATTACGAGTGCGAGTGTAAAAGTAAAATTTCTTGCTAAAAGCTAAATAGGACTGACTGTGTTTTATATTTTTGGGAGTGCTCTTGGAGCCTTAGGAAGTAGTAGCCAGTGATTTAGATAAGAAGAACTAAGATGAATGATCAATTTCAAAGAGGCATTACAGTCTTGAAGATTCTGTGGGGAAGTCATATTTTTAAAAATCACCTGGGACTGTATTTTTGTCACAGTCAATCTTAAAAGATTCTTGCAGTGGCAGAGTGAGGAGGGAACTTTATCAATACCTGGCCTCACTCATACCTCTCCTCTTAGCTGATTTTCTTTAGTCTTGTTTCAACTTTCCCTATCGTGCTATTCATGGGAAAACTTTTCATCCTGGTGGGTGGCTGGTAAATTTGGTTATTTATTTAGTGTGAAGTTTATTGTAAATCTGTACCTTCCTTGCTCGTCCTCATTTTCGGGGGGAGTAGGGGTGGGATGGGGTGGTGAGGTTAAAGATCTCACAAGTCTGCAATCCATTTCAAGCCTTCATGTTATAAATATGCTTTATTGAGTCCATTTGCACAAATCTAATTGGAGCTAAATAATTCAGTCTGGCCTAAGAATACAAAGTACAGATGTGCATAATGCTACTGAGACCAGCTGAGGCTTCATCTACTTGCAGGCTTTTCCTCTGCTGTTTTTCCTCATTTTTCTCATTTGTGGAGCTGCAGATATTGCCTTTCATGGTCATGTTGTTTTCAGATCCCAGTAATTAGACCATAGGCCTCCGGCAAGTTGGTATTTTCCTTTTTATGAGTAAAAACCATTTCAACTTTTTTTGCGGGGAATCCTTTTGAGTCTCTGAATCATTCACAAGTATGGCAAGGTCTAATTTTATTCCATAAGAAGAAAAGAGAGTATTTCACTTTTCCTATTTAGAGATGCCGCCCTCCCCCCAAGCTTTGCTCCCCTCTGCTTATATCTTTGGGATCATCTGCAGTGGCAGATGGCTTTATGCAAATCAGGCCAATTACTTTGGTTATAGTAAAAATCACCTTGCATTATGAGTAACTTCCAGATTAGTGAAACTGACGTGTTTCTTTGATAACTTGCCCAGACTCAGAGAGCAAACTGTCTTGTGCTGACCCATGAGGCTGTGGTCCCACACATGTCTCTGCCATCTTAGTGACCCTTTAAGGACATTCCCTTAACTCTCCTGCTCATTAATTTTTATAGGTCTACCTACCCATAGAAAAATTATGTTCAATGCCTGTTTATTAGCCATATTTGATAATCTCATGTATTAGTAAAGGGTAATAATGCTATCTTCAAATTTTGTGGCTAGTTTTTACAGAGAACAGACATGAATATAACTTTAATGAATTCTTCTCATTTTTTGTGCCAGAAATTAAGTTGCCTAATAGTCTTTGATAACTTTTGCTGAAATAATTTCTATAGTCAAGTTCTTTTTTTCTCTTTCCTCCTCCTCTCAATTCTCTAAAGCTTATGCATTGACAGAACAATCCATCTTCCAGAATGGCTCTCACAAGATCATCAAGGTTTTTTTTTTTTTTTCCTCCTTTTATCTCTTTCTCAAATAGGGTTTACCACCTTGCTTTTTGAGATAGTGTGAATTGAACAGCAGAAAATGAGGGAAACCTTGACCAATTAGCCCTAAACTATCAGTGGCATTTCTGACTTGGATAAAGGATTGAGTTCTGTGGCTCCAGTGCCATTCAGTTTCCTTTCCAGATGTGCCACAGCAGATAAGGATCATTCCTGTCTATTTGATAAATAGTCACAGAGACACCTAACATTCTCATTCCCCAGTAGCAGTGTTTCAGTCTTTAACTTTCTGCCATTAGACTCCCTCTCCTTCTGGTACAGAGATGGGAAGATTAAATGACTAAGGAATTAATTGCTGTAAAATACTTTGCAGTACAGATGTAAAGTATAATGTTTCTTCTGACCTTTGCTGCCGATTGTTTCATCTGAGAGGGCACTTGTATCTGGAATACTAGCTTAAAAAGCATGGGAGTTTGGCTAATAATAAAAATAGCACATATTAATATAGTGTTCATTGTGTACCAGGAACTGTTCTCTGTGCTTTGTGTGTATATTGATTCATTATAGGTGAAGCGGCATACTTAGTGTCACTGATGTTTTTTAGGTTGAAAATTGGTGTCCTCATTTACCTTGGAGAGCAAAAAACCCATACGAAGAAGCTGATCATAATTCATTGGTAAGTGATTTTGGAAAACTCTTTCTAGACTTATATATTTAAGTCAGATGCCAAGGGATACATGTGGAATCTTTTAGAAATGCCAACCATAATCTGAAATAGTGTAACACTGAAAAACTTCGGTCATTCATCTCTGTGGAAGTCTAGGTGACCAAATCAGTCAACTATTAACATATGTTTGTTTATTGAGCAATTCTCTGAGGGTTTCTAAATGATGGGCTACTGATATGAGTAAGACCTGGTGCCAAATGTGGAGGCCCTTAGTGATCTAATGAGGGTGATGGTAAATAATGACCATCTCTGTCACAAATGCTATAATATAGGCCTGTGGGAATTAATGAGGAAAAGGTCATTTTAGTCTGCAATGTGCAGGGTGGATTGCATAGTGAAGATAACATAGGAGCTGAATTTGAAATGATGAGTGAGTTTATATAAGGTCAAGGAGAAAAGGGTACCTCTCATCTGGGAAAATGGAGCATGGCAGTTTTGGTGAGTAGGGCATGCATGGTTCAGTGGGCCAAAGCCATAGGGGATTGGATAAGCTAGGCTGAAAATGAAATTGCGAAGGTAGGAAGAGGACTGTGAAGGTATTTGTGTGGCCCATTAAAAGTGTAAGTCTGTACTCTTTAGACCAGAGTGCAGCAGACTTCTGCAAAATACCTGGAATAGTTATTCGTTTCATCTTTGCAGGCCGTATGGTCTCGTCACAACTACTCAATTCTGCCATTGTAGCACACGGAGCAGCCGTAGATGATATGTAAATGAAGGGGCATGGTGGAGTTCCAGTAAAATTTTATGCACAAAAACAAGCAGGATTTAGCTCAAGAACTATAGATTAGGGATCCCTGCTGTAAACCACAGGAGTCTTAGGATATTGTTTAGTCAAGAAGGGAAATGAAGCTGGGTGTGGTGACTCATGCCTGTAATTCCAGCATTTTAGGAGGCTGAGGCAGGAGGATTGCTTGAAGCCAGCAATTTGATACCAGCCTGGGCAATATATCAAGACCCCATCACTACCAAAAAATTTAAAAACTGGCTGAGCATGGTGGCGCGTGCCTATAGTTCCAGCTACTTGGAAGGCTGTGGTGGCAAGAGGATCGCTTGAGCCCGAGTTCAAGGCTCCAGTGAGCTGTGATCATGCCACTGCATTCCAGTCTGGATGCGAGTGTGAGACCCTATCTCAAAGGGGGAAAAAAAGAAAGAGATGAGTGTTTAGAATGAGCTATGGTGATAGTTGAAAAGGTGGATTCAGCCGGGCGTGGTGGCCCACGCCTGTAATCCCAGCACTTTGGGAGGCCGAGGCGGGTGGATCACGAGATCAAGAGATCGAGACCATCCTGGTCAACATGGTGAAAACCCGTCTCTACTAAAAATACAAAACATTAGCTGGGCATGGTGGCACGTGCCTATAATCCCAGCTATTCAGGAGGCTGAGGCAGGAGAATTGCCTGAACCCAGGAGGTGGAGGTTGCGGTGAGCCGAGATCACACCATTGCACTCCAGCCTGGGTAACAAGAGTGAAACACCGTCTCAAAAAAAAAAGGTGGATTCCTCATGTTTGAGATGTTCTGTGAAATAAATACTGGTTATTATTAGGTTTCTCTATTATTTCAATCACTGGTTGTATCTAGCTATATTATACACAACATTAGGAAAAATATTCTTCCTGGCTTGTAAGTTACTCTGGTCTGAACTTTAAATTGTACTTAGTTGTGGCAGAAAAATAGTATTCTTGGCTCTTAAATTCCTTAGAAAATAATGAATTTTTGTTTGGACTGGGACAAAACTAGAAATGAGCATTTATTTCCTTATTTAACTCTGTGGACAGAAAGAGGCTTTTTGGTAACTTCCACGTTGTCAAACAGCCTGCTAAGAATTGACTTCAGTTTTCTTAGAAGTCTGCTGTCCTATGGTAGATCCGAGTGGCACAGTAAATTTGAGTGCTGAGAATTTCAAGGTACATCAAGTACACTCATTATAAAAACTGCATTTTAACATAGCTCAGGGCTTTGTAATGCCTATGCTACTTTTCTCGATTTCTAATTTTTTTAATGATGTCCCTTCCAGCAGATCAGCAGTCAGCAGCCTTTGCTTCAATTTGCAATCCTGAGACCTTAAAGTCAAAGCTGCCTCAGACAAGGCTTACTTTTTAAGCTCTGAATTTAATTGACTAACCCTTTTAAGTTTTCAAATGCCACATCGTGAGAACAATTATGCCTTCTGACTTTTTAATCTTCTATTCATTTTTTTGAATTTCTGTTGCTAGGCGGAAATTCGTACGGATTTTAATATTCTCTACAGTATGATGAAAAAGCATGAAGAATTCCGGTGGATGAGACTACGGATCCGGCGAATGGCTGACGCATGGATCCAAGCAATCAAGTCCCTGGCAGAAAAGCAGAATCTTGAAAAGAGAAAGCGGAAGAAAGTGAGTTTCTTATTAATTCAATGCAGTTAGATTCCAGTTTTCTTTTAAAATTTGATTTTGCTTGGAAACAAGACTAAGAGAAATGTCATATCTCAAATGATATTCCCTCAGGGGGAATCTGCTCAGTCTCTTGTACAGCTGTTTTGGGTTTTTCTTTCCCCACTTACAATACTCCTTCTTAGCAGGGTCTGGCACAAGTTTCTTGGGTGAGGCCAAGCAGAATATCTGCCTGTAAGACTTTTCCTTTGACTCTGTCTTTGTCAGGGTATCGGGAAACTTTCCCCCATTTCTTTACCTGAATCCAGTCTTTGAGAGCTTCCTGTTATATCATTATGACAGTTTTATATTTTTGCTGATTTTCATCCCTGGCTTTTGGACAGCCAGTGAGTTGCATTGCTACTCTTCTGATTGGTGATTCTGCTTCTGCTCCTAGGACAGAGAGAGAGAAATTTGAATAAATTTGAGCCAGTTTCTTTCTAGCTTAGGAGGAGATGCTTGGAAAACTTCTCCAATACCCCTGGGCTTAGAAGATTTTATGTCCTGTTAGCTATATGGTCTGATTTTAGATTAACTGTTCTGATTTCAGAATGCAGTAAAGTGAACAATTTGCTCCCACATCTAAAAATAAATAAATAAATAAATAAAAATGAGTTTAGTATTCCTAATCCAACTAATTTGATATCTTTGAAAAAGAAAGTACAGATGTATTTGCAGGACCTCAAGTCACAGTTTGATAGGTCAGTTTTGCCTAGATCTCTTGAATTTATGAGACAGCAGAACCAAACATTCTGTCACCAGATGGTCGTGTATGGAAGAGCATGTGTTCCGATGCTGAAGTTGGGCTGTAAAAAGAAATAAAGAATTTTTCTGTATATTCCTGTGGAATAACCTCAAGGATATATTGTTAGGTGAGGAAAAATAGAGAATAGTGTGCATTATTTTTAAGAGAGAGAGGGAATTTGTATCTATGTATACATAAAGATATATACAGATACACACATTTGTTTCTTGCTCTTAGTTTGAAAATGTATTTTTCTTATTTTGATAAGCTAAAATTAAAGGAGATGGTGATGATGGTTGCACAATAATATGAATGTGCTTCATGCTACTGAACCATACACATTAAAATGGTAAATTTTATGTTAGGCGTGTATTACTACAATAAGAAAAAAGTGGTCAAATAAGGAGAGGTGGGATTAGGATGGAGAAAACAGAAACTACCATACAAACTAGACTTCTGAATATATCTGACTTTGTAGATTTGACACAAGTCATTTTATGTACGTCTTAAATTTTATTGCCAAAACCTAAAAATTAGAAAAAATATAAAACAAATGAACTGAATATATATCCATCCAGTTTTGATGAAAGCACACAGAAAAAGACTATTCTTAGTGATTTGAGAACATAGTAAATACACTTCTGATGGGATGTTATAAAGCATAAAAAAAGTAAAAATATCTTAAAACCATTTTTATTAGTCATATAATATGTGGTAGCATTGATAGTCTCATTCTGAATCCATTGTGAACACTGGAATAAAGGTAATGAGTAATTATGTTAGTGTCATTGAGAAGTGGGATGTGCAGTGTGAAAGGGAGGAATTGATGGATGGTAGGATTGGTGATGTTATGTAAAAACAGTATAACCCTGAGTTTGAATTGGAAGCACCAGTATGAACTCATGATTTGTTTTATCTTTGAGGAAGAACAAATTTCCTAGCTAGGGCCACTGTAAGACCTATAAATAGTAATAAAATCAAGTCCCTTAAGGCCCACACTTTAGTCCCTAAATGCTGTTTCTACTAGGTGGTATAAGAGGTTCTTGGAAAAATGGCTTATTAAGGTCCAAGACAGAAGTTGTATCTGTTGAGCCTAAAACAGTCTTGTCTGGTGCATCTGTCTACCCATGTTCAGAGAAGCTATCTAAGAAGACTAGGGTCATGTCAAAAACTTAGGAGCCAGCTTGGATAGACTCCTGCAGACACAGGTGGGACAATTGGATAGTCAGGGAGAGGAATAACCACATTTTTTTGAAGCATATGAAATATGCTTTGATGTTATAATGATTTTTTAAATTAAAAAACTTCATGGATCATGATTAGAGTATACCAAAGAACAAGTTTATTATTCTGAAAAACTGGTAAATGAAGAGAAAGAATCAAGTATTTACCAGGCTCCTTCTAGACAAACCTTAGGATTACCTCAGGATGACCAAATAGTTGATGAGGGGTAGTTTTTCTTTATAGAGGTATTATTCCAGCTAATAAATAAAGAAGGAATGATCAAATATCATCATTTTGCAGACCCTAATGGATTAATGGATCTAGGTAGTGACCATCAAGGCCTACTAATATCCCAAAACAGAGACACAGATACATTGTTCCAGTACATTGTACTGAAACTGATGGAAGTCCACACCACCACCTGTGAAGTGATATTGCTTAATTTAAAAAAAAAAAAAAATTGAATCTCAATTTGATTATTATGTCTGCATTACTTACTTACCATAATACAAAAGACAGAAGAATCTTATACCTTGAGATTGCAAGCAAAATCAGGAGTGTCGGAGATGACTGAAAATAAAACCCAGATTCTTTGATAAATAAACCATAGCAGTCCCTACCCCCACCACCAAATAAGCTGACGGGAGGCTGTATCGGTTAAAAGAGGCTAAGAGACATATGAGGCAATTATTGGGTATGCCCTCTGACTCTTGAATCACACAACTGCACTTAGAAAAAATAAAGGGCAGTTGAAGACGTATGAACGTTAACCGGATATCAGATCATGTTAAGGAATTACTAGCTTTTTTTAGGGATAATAGTGATGTTGAGGTTACATTTTTCAAGTGAAGGTTTGTTCCTTTTAGAGATACCTACTGAAATATTTACAGATGAAAGGATGTCTAGAATTTGCTTTGAGATAATGTAGAGGGGTTGGGAGAAAATGAGGGTATAGATTAAGATTTGTCCTGCATCAATAATTGTTGAAGTTACATGATAAGTACTTTGGTATTGACTATATTGTCATGTTTGCAATTCTATGTGTTTGAAATGTTTCATAGTAAGAGGTGAGAAGTATTTTCACTGTAGATAAAAGACCATTCATGTTAAAAAATACTGTCCTGTCTTACCTTCCTTTAATCCCGATATTACAAATATACTGTACTTGTAAAAGGTGGGATTATCTTTCCATTTCTTATACTCATGGCCATACCAAGGGCTGCAGTGATTTTATTTCTCTAAAACCACAATGAAAAAAATGATTTCCTTTGTACCTTCTAGAAAAACAGCATTCCCCACACTGAGAATTTGCTAGGATGTAAGCATGACTTTGGGATTGGTTGATCACTTCTTGGTGCATTACTGTTTATTTTGTATGTGGTTCAGTGTGAATCATTATATGCCTCTCTGTTTTTCAGGTCCTTGTTCACCTGGGACTCCTGACCAAGGAATCTGGATTTAAGATTGCAGAGACAGCTTTCAGTGGTGGCCCTCTTGGTGAATTAGTTCAGTGGAGTGATTTAATTACATCTCTGTACTTACTGGGCCATGACATTAGGATTTCAGCTTCGCTGGCTGAGCTCAAGGAGTAAGGAGATTACTTTTCAATTTTAAAATCAGAATACAAAAAAGAAATTGTAAACTCTTAAAGTATTACCTCTATTAGTGTGTAATTTTTTTGTGGAGGAAAATGAAAGTGATAATTCACTAAACAGGAGATAAGAAGATTATTTTCAGGAGCTAAATACATACACTGTGAAAAGGATAATATGTTTTCATTGTAGCTGAAGGCTCCAGAGGCTTCATAAATGAATGCCAGAAAATTCAAACTAAGGAGCTTATTCTTTGCTATTACAGGTGCTTCCAACATCTGTAGCACAAAACATTATTAACTTTCCTAATTCCCTGTCTCTTGCTGAAATTCATAGCACTACCTACTCAACATCAAATCTTTCTAAATCTTAAAACAGGGCAGGTTTCCGGTTTGTAATTTAATTTGGATAGAATAAATTTCCTGAAAGTTCTGAGCCAATCCTTTTTCAATTAGCCAACTTGAAGCTGAATCTGTTAATTCTACCTGGGTTTTCTATTTCACTGAAATTTGCTTCTAACTCCAGCCCTCCTGTAATCCCTTCTGTATTGGCATAGCTGGCTGAACAGAGATGCTTCCATCCCCTATACTCCCTTAGGATAACTTCCCATGGAGACTTCCCACCCAACAGTCAGGTTACCATGTTGCTGTATGTCATATATTTCCAGAAGAAATACCTTGAATGAACATTCTAGAGTTCATTGAGATGAGAGACATGTTAAAATAGTATACGGTGGCACACACCTGTAATCCCAGCACTTTAGGAGGCCAGGGCACATAGATCACTTGAGACCAGCTTGACTAGCATGGCAAAACCCTTTCTCTACTGAAAATACAAGAATTAGCTGGGTATAGCGGCACATGCCTGTAGTCCCATCTACTCGGGAGGCGGAGGCTACGGAGAGCCAATATGCCACTGTACTCCAGCCTGGGTGACAGAGCAAGACTCTGTCTCCAAAAAAAAAAAAAAAAATACATTGAGTAAACAACCTATAAAGTATCTGCATTTATACAGTTAGCAGTCACTCATCTGGTGCTTTCTGTGGACTAGTTTTGGTATGGGACATACAGAGATGACCAACATGTGATCAAGGAGCTTCCAATCTTTTGATCATTACAACTAATATATTACATAAAAATTACACTAATTCCAGTGCTGTTAGTTCTAATTGAGGTGTGCATGGTTGCTAGAATGTAAGCACTGGGATTGCAGGAAACTGAGTATTGTTCACCACTGTGTAGTGGGCACCTAGGTCGTGGCTAACATGTGATGAGTACTCGCATAACTATTTATGGAATGAATGAGTGAAGGAATAAATACGTGAATGAATGAATGCATAGGTAAATAAATGGAGTACTCTGGTAGTACCAGGAACAAGTACTGCCTGGGGAGGTCAGGAAAGGTATGTTAGGGATTTATCAGTCAGACTTTGATGGTCAAGGGGAAATCTGTTTAGTATGTCCTCGCTTAACATTGTTGATAGGTTCTTGGAAACTGGGACCTTAAATGAAATTATGTAAAGTGAAACCAATTTTTTTCATCAGCATTATAACCAGTGATTTGAAGGAAATGACTTTATTGGAGGGCCTGCTATATGATGTTTTGTTTAAAGTCCTAGTTTTCAGGAACCTATTGATGATGTTAAGTGAGGACTTAACTCTAGTGGTCTTTATTCACAATGGGGTCAGGGCTAGATGTGTTTTATTTAAGAAGATAATTGTGGAAGCAACATAGAGCAGTGGTCTTTAAATATATCTGTACTTTAGAACCACCTGGAGATCTTTGTATTTATTTTTTAACTTTGGAAAATCTTTTTTTAAATTCCGCAGACCATGCCACAGGCTGATTAAATCACAACCCTTGCGGGTAGGACATAGCCATAAGTATTTTGTGGTGCCTCCAGGTAATTTCATTATACAGACAAGTTTGGGAAACACTGAACATAGGGTGGGCCAGAGATCAGAAAACTATGACTTAGCAGGCCAAATCAGCCTTCTGTCTTTTTTTGTGAATAAAGTTTCATGGGAACACAGCCATGCCTATTGTTATAGCTGTCTTCATTCCACAACAGGAGGCTGAGCCAATTTTGACTGAGAATTTATGACCTGCAAAGATGAATATATTCACTGTCTGGCCCTTAACAAAAAGGGTTTTCCAACTCTTGGGGAAGAAACTGGTAGAGCAGAACCTAGTTCTTTCATAAACGGGAGAGGAGGGAAGGTGGCTGATGTGGTGGTAGTACAGAGCTGTAGAGTGGAGTCCTGTTTGTGACTCTTGTCCTTTGAAGCAGGATGCCCGTAATTTGGTGAAGGATCATTGTGGGGTGTGGGCAGGGATAAGAAGCAAAAGTCATGACTGATTAGTGAGTGGATGGAAAGTGTGATTTGGTACACTTGTGCTCAGATGGATGCATGGGTAGGGGAAAGGGTGACAAAAAACTGCAAGCCATAGTGCTGGTTCTGTAATACAGTCAAGCGAGGAGGAAAAATTTGACATAAGAGAAAAAGTTCGGGAACAGTATGAGACAAGTAGAAAGAAGTTAATACTATAGAGGCTAGAAATTGAGGATTTTCAGGAAAAGGGGAGGGGAAGGTTCGTAAGGTTGCTAAGTAGTATAAGAACAGGGCCTGAGGGAGAAAAATAAGTTACTGATTATCTGGTATGCATTAGGCATTTTCTATTCAATAGCTCATTTAACCTTGTGAAGAACTCCTGAGAGATTGATACTCAGTGTTCTTTGCATCTAGTCCTTCTTTTCTGGAAGATGAGCAAAGACAGATTGAGAGAGGTTAGGTAACTTATTTAAGGTCTCATAGTTGCTACATAGTGGTGATGGAGTTAGACCTAAATCTTCCTTGATTTCAAAGACTGTGTTCATATGTCACCATCTGCTTTTGCAGGAGTCAGAATCAGGGTACTGGGTTGGCCTTAATGGATGGAAATAATTTATATAGGCAGCAGATTTGAAAGGGCCATGCTGTCATCTCTAATTAGGATGTTTGGGGTGGCATTTGCCCATTAAAGCTGCTAAGTTTATTACCTTTTAAGTAAATGATTTTTCTTTTTTTTTTCTCCCCTTTCTTTTGCTGTTTCTCCAGAATCATGAAGAAGGTTGTAGGAAACCGATCTGGCTGTCCAACTGTAGGAGACAGAATTGTTGAGCTCATTTATATTGATATTGTAGGACTTGCTCAATTCAAGAAAACTCTTGGACCATCTTGGGTTCATTACCAGTAAGTGCTGCATGGTATTCTGACCTAAGTGTTCCCCCGCCCCCCAACAAGGGTTGCATGGTTGCAGGTAGAAAAAGCTTATCAAATAATATATTTTCAGCTGTATGGAGTGCATTGCTCATTCCTAATTAAAATTCAGATTCTCAGTGACTTTATACTTTCCATGGCTATTCATTATTTTCATTGATTTCTTAAGAACAGAAAACAAATGTTCAACCTCTTTTCTGTCTTGACTAATATTCTTAGCTTTCCTCTCAGTATGCATATGCCAGTGTCATCTATTTAATCAAATATCAATTTTGATAAAATATGTGCAGTGTCATTTCTTGTAGTCCATGGGTTTTAGATCATGATTCACTTTTCTTACCCTTTACTTGATCAATATTCTTGTCATTCCTGGAAGGGAAATCTGGGAATACCCTATCTGAATGCTGGGGTCTTGCACTTTTTAAGATAAGCCCATGATTAACATAAGTTTGTTGCATGTGTACTCTGTGCAGTCTTTATTATTTAGTAGAATGGCTCAGTGTTTCTCTGAGTGTGGGTTTGGGACCACGATTTAGTATTTGAAACACTTTTACCTGGTATACAAACATGGCAGTAAGTCACACTGAATTATATAATTAAATTTATTAATTTTCCATTTTCTTTCAGTCTTTCTGGGAAAAGATATAGTTTGATGCTACTAGATCTCCAACACTACTTTTAATGCATGCCTTTTTAACGATGTGAGAGTAGCTGTAGAGTCTGAGCCTTCAGAAGGCAAAAGTGTCTATTCTGAATTTTAAAATATTTCCGAAAGGTTATATGCTTTTTTCTTGTTATCTTGCATTTGTTGCAGTCCATACTGGGTTTTACACATGGCCTTTAAAAGTTTCTTTTAAAAAATAAATTTTAAAAAGTGAATAAGCTTAAATATATTTAATAATGTAAATTATACATAAATATTTTTAAAAACCTGAAAACTTGCTGTGGGCCAATACAGTGCTCTACCTTTTGCATTAGGTTTTTTTCTTTTTTCTTTTGCTTGTTTCTTGAAATATTTATGAAAGTAGAGCTGCTGTTTTCTACCGTTTTGTGAATGGCAGACATCTGATAAATGTGCAGAGGAATCTACGCAGTACAGGCTTCCCTTGACTCACATGTTCTTGCTATTAGGAAGAGTTGTTTGGATGGAAAAATACTCGCAGTGGTACTATTTAGGTCTGTTAAAAAAGGAAAATTTTGTTATTAAAATGGTCACCATTGATTGATATTTAACTCTTGTTGGATGAAAAGGCACCATCTCAGAGGGGTTTTTATGGATGAGTGTAATGTTTATCTGCCTTTCTTTAATAAATCATCTCTGTTAGTGATAGTACCTGGCAGGAGGTCTGTTAGTGCTTTAGCTTTGCAGTCTTTGTGGTGGGGTGAAGTGAAGATTCCATTAAAAGCCAACTCGGGTGCTCTTGGAAATTTCTTGCCAATTTCTTTCCCCTTAAAAAATTAGAAATTGTCAGGGCTCTCTATTCATCTTGGTTATTAGTACGTACTCCATTAAATGTAATGTTTTTACCTGATCTTTCAGTTAGGAGCAAACCCTTGAGGCCTGTTGGAAAAATAATTGTAAATTTTGTGCAATTTACATAGGGACCTAGGAAATTCAATTAAACATTTATTAAATGCCTACACACAAGTAGTGTTCTGCTAGGTACTGCAAAACTCATACCCATTTTACTTCCTACAAGGCCTTTGTTGAAGAACATACAAGACAGTAAGTCCCAGATATGCTTTATGTCAAACATCAAATTAGAAATTAGGGCATGGCAAGGAACTCATGAGCATCCATTTCGTAGTAGTGTGGCTGAGAACAAAGAGAAGGTTTTGGCATTGCTGCTGGGATCCCTGTTAACAGGAAGGCAAGCTGCCTTGGGCTTCAAAACAAGTAACTTTTTAAGTCATTAGTCTCCTTGTGATACTCCACACACAGAGACATTAGAGGGAAGGCATAAATATTAGCAACATATTATAAAAATAATTGAAAAACACACAGATCGGGATGTGATTGAAGAAGGAAAACTATAATGTTAAACCTTCCATGTCGTAGACAAACTTCAGTCTCCATCTCTGCTTTATAAATCAAACCTAGGTAAGCCAGAAAATACGCAGTTCCCAAGCCAAAGCCTCAAGTAAAAGGATGTCAAATTGAAAATGTCTGAGAGACATCTGATCACTCTATTCCTCTTTCCGGAAGAGCCCAACACCACATAGCTTACATCTAGGCACCGCAAAGTCCAGGCTTTCAGGAGTTAGGCCCTTACCAGAGAACTTTACTCGTCAAGATTTGTTTTAATTGCCCAAATCAAAAATAATAATAGCAAAACTTCAAGTTAAAAATATAGTCACCAGCCAAAGCTAGAGAAGAGCATATAGTTAACATTTTATATCTATGAGTTCCACAGCCACAGATTTAATCTCAGACCAAAAATATCTGAAGAAAAAAATAAAAATAATATAATAATAAAAATACAAATATGATATTAGGTATTAGATTTGTAATCTAGAGATGATTCAAATATGAGAAGATGTGCATAGGTCCTATGAAAGTACTTTACCACTATATAAAAGGGACTTGAGTATCCTTGGATTTCAATATCCACAGGGGCCCTGGAACCAATCCACCAGATGCCAAGGACAGCTGGAGACTGTTGGAGTCAATTGCAAATAAGTGGAAGAAGTTGAGCCTTCAAGCCAAGGCTCCTTATGACCCAAGTGACCCATTTCTCCCTGTCGGACCTGCACAGAGAGCTGTAATCTTTGACTCACAAGTGGTGCTGGCAAATCCCAGCTCCGATTCTCTGGTGGGAGTGGAGCATTCCGCAGCCCCGCAAATGAGTGTGCGTCCTGTCCTCTTCTCCGCCGCCCCCCCCTTTTTTTAAGTGATCTGCAGAGCTGCAGTTCTTATACATAGTTTTTTAAAACAGAAAAATATAAGTTAAGAAATGGGTATGTTTTGTTAAGAAAGGGATGCTCTGAGGTATTCAAAGAGCAAAGAAAACAAACACTGATCAGTTCCTTGGGTCCCTAGCTTTCTTTTTTCAGGACTGTGGGCCTTGTTTCTGCCCACTTATTGGCCACCAGGCCAATGACATATCTTTGGTGGTATTGTGAAAACTGCTGCTGTGATGAGAGCGTATTCTGTGAGAGCCACACAAGAATCCCAGGCAGGGAAATTCCTCTGGTCAGCTTGTATTTGACTTGTGTGGCCTGCCTGCCTGCCTTTTCTTCTCTTCTGTGTCTTAACAAATGGTAGTGATCTCTAATGAGAAAACTAGCGCACAGAAATGACAATGTATGAATATACTTACTAGAAAATTCAATCTCATGTTTATACTTTTTCCCCCTGAAGCATACATTGAAGTGAAAATAAAAGTTGAAAGAATGCCTTTCTGAAAGTAGAAAAAAACTGAACCAGGTTTTCAAAAGTCAGTGCCATCATCTGATTCTAAAATGTGGGTTTCAGTCTTTACCTTTATGCTTCTTAGTCTTCTAAAAGCATAAAATATTCAGAAGTATTATTGATACGTAACAGGGAAAGAGCTGCTTTTATTGGCCATCCACAAAAATATTTAATTTACATCAAGTATTTTGAAAGTCGGTGATGAAATGTTACCAAAACCAATAAATTTTGTTTTGGGATTGATTCCTTTCTTCCAATTGGTTGTTCCTTGTGCACTCCAGAGCAGTGGTCAGAAAACTTTTTCTGAAAAGAGCCAGCTACTAAATATTTTAAGCTTCACAGGCCCTATATGCAGTCACTGCAGCTACTCAGCTCTGCTGTTGCAGGATGAACGCAGCCATAGACAGTAGGTAAACAACAGAGTGTGGCTGCATTCAAATAACATTCTTATTTTTGAACATGGAAATCAGAATTTCATTTAATTTTTACATGTCACAAAAGATTCCTTAAAAGCCATTTAAGAATGTAAAGCTCATTCTAAGCTCACAGACCATACGAAAATCGGTGGTAGACCCGATTTGGCCCTGTTTTATGGCTTTGGTGGAACAGCAAACAAAACATCTTCACTTGTATTTCTTCAAGCTCTAGGAGAAAGCAAATAAAGTTCTGTTATTATCAGATACATTAAAAATACCATTGCCAGGGCCGGGCGCGGTGGCTCACGCCTATAATCCCAGCACTTTCGGAGGCCGAGGGGGGTGGATCACAAGGTCAAGAGATCAAGACCATCTTGGTCAGCAAGGTGAAACCCTGTCTCTACTAAAAATACAAAAATTAGCCAGGCATGGTGGTGCACGCCTGTAGTCCCAGCTACTCGGGAGGCTGAGGCAGGAGAATTGCTTGAACCCAGGAGGCGGAGATTGCGGTGAGCCGAGATTGTGCCATTGCACTCCAGCCTGGGTAACAACAGCGAAACACCGTCTCAAAAAAAAAAAAAAAAATACCATTGCCTGCTAAATGAGATTCTAAGCTTAATGTAAGGTCAAATACTCAAATTGATGAAAACACTGAATGATTGCTCCTAGAGATAACACATGTCATATACTTTAAGCAGAATAAGACCTCTATAGAACTTCAGCATCTGTTGATTAGACACTGTGTGCTCAGCTCTGGCCAGGTGCTGGGGGTACAGCAGTGAACCTGGCAGTCCCCAGTTCAAGGTGTCATAGAACTTTTCATTTTGCTGGTAGTTGAGTGATCCTCTATAATTAGTCACCTGATGTGAAGCAAATCATATCTGCTATGTGATGGCTCACTCTCTAAAGTCACACACGTAGATGTTTGGTACACAAGCTATTCTAAAACATCTCAATTCTTGTCTGGTGCTGCTTCTATTTAAAAGGATTTGTCTATTTTTAGTAGTCCTGAAGGAAGGGTTAGAGCTTTCACCTTTCAACTTGGGGGGCAAGTATGTAGTGTTACACACTTTGCTTTTTTCTTTCAGGTGCATGCTCCGAGTCCTCGATTCATTTGGTACTGAACCCGAATTTAATCACGCAAATTATGCCCAGTCGAAAGGCCACAAGACCCCCTGGGGAAAATGGAATCTAAACCCTCAGCAGTTTTATACCATGTTCCGTGAGTATTCATGTTTCGTACATGCTTTCCAGAATGCCACCAAAGATAGATGGGAAAATTAACTAACTGCCATCTATTTTGGGTTATGATTCTCAGGACCGTTAGCTGTAGAGGAATGTATGTGTGTGTGTGTGTGTATGTTTTGCACACACGAGTGTTGTTGAACCTTTTCCTTGGGAATTACTGAATTTATTTTTTTTTGGTTTTGTTTTGTTAGTTGAAATCAAAAGTCCACATGAACGTTTTTTGAAAAGCCTTGGAAATGTTCTGGAGAAAAATGTTCAATACAGAGTATCATTAGAAACTATTGGGAAAGGACTTTGCAATGACTTTCAATTGTCAAGCACTAAACACATTTTATGCTAAAATGTACACTGTGTCCCTAGTGAAGGGCTAAGTCTTCCATGCAGATCTATTTTCCACATAGTTAAACCTTAATTATTTCAGCATCAAACTTTTTTGTAAAAAGTGAGCTTTTTGAAAAGAACTGTTTTAAACTCAGTTTTGTATTTTACCTACTTCTTAAATCCTAGGCCCAGAATGAAATTTTACTTTCTCTTGCTGACTTCGTGTCACTGTTTGCAGTAGGCACTGATCATTTCATGAGCCAATATAGTAAGAATAACAGACTGAATGATGATGAATTAACTGGCCACAGATGCTAGGCTCTTAGACATTTTCTGTTTCTATAGTGTTACTTTCACACTTTTACCGTTTCTTCCTGCTGCTGCCTGTTTACCTGATACTAGCTTCATTTCTAATTAGCTAAGGACTGTGAACCCAGATACCACATTTGACAGTGTTTGTGACAAAAATGAATTTATTTTATAAGTCAATAGGCCTTAGTGATGAGATGAAGTTCTATTCCGTAAGTGAAAGGCCATATGAGAGTTAATTTGGATGATGAGAGAATTCCTGTTTGCTAAAATTGCCACAATAATTTTAATCCAGAGGTTTCCACTCTTAACTTCTGAGATGACTCTGTTTGCTTTGTTGAACCAAGATTCAAAACACCTCTTCCTAACCTTCTCTTCATGTGGTTGCCCCTCCCCATTGTATGCAGCTACTTGAAGGTGACCCCTGTGTCACACTCACTAAACGTCTCAGCATTGGACTAATCTTTGGCTATTAGGCGTGAGAAGGGAGAATTAAGAATGGAGAGTAATGCTAAAAATCAGCTCCTGCTTAAGTGTTCTTGTAAGCTCAGATTTGTGAGAATGTGTTGTATGCTTCATAAACATTATTGTTCCTGAAGCTCTATCTTCCTGCTATTACACACTGTCCCTGGGGCACAGTTCATGGGTCAAATTGATTTTCGGTACAGTAGGTGACAGCCGGCTTTCAGCATGGTGAGGATGCTCAGAGTTTGCATGGTTTGACTTCGCTGTGTAACTTTGAGGGGATGGGATAAGGTGGCACAGAATAGCCTAGGAAGTGATCTGTGTGTTAAACCAAGTGAAATAAAACAGTAACTGTGTCCAAAGTGACTAAAACTGCTGAAAGATATGTCAGGTGTGTGTCCTACAAGAGATGGAGTTTCCAGGGAATAGAGAAGGGAGGTTTTTTTTTTACTAGAAAACATAAAGTTCTGTTTTAGAGTGTTGGACCTATTGTTCTCTGTGGATGGAGAATTTCAGCAGTATTGGTTGATTAAATTGAAAGAAATTCACTGCTTAAAATGTAACTGAGGATGAAAACATGAATTAATTTCTGTTAACATGGGAAGGGGATAAGTTTCCTAACCATGACTCAGAATTCAGCAGAGATCAAGGAAAATTGATATGCTTGACTGTATTTTAGGAAAAAGAAGAACTTGTATGGCAAAACAACAACCAGCAACACCATAAGCAAAACATATCACAGAGGGCTAAATTCACTATCGACAGACCAACATGTATATACACACATACACACACATGTATACACACACACAAATTAGGAGAAAAAGTTCCATGTTCTAATAGAAAAATGGGAAAAGGCTATTCACAGTTTAGAGGAAAGAGAAATTTGCTGCTCTTAACATATGAAAAGCTGTTAACCTCATTCACAGTGAGAGAAACAAATTTTTAAACTGCACCAAGATACCATGTCCCATGTACAGAAGAAATGCAGAAGTTAAACAGCATAGCTATTCTAATGGTGCAGTGAGCAAAACCGGTCCTCTTCTACCCTAGTGGTTAGAATGCAGCATGGTACTAACCCAATGGGAAGGGTGTTTGTCAGGATTTAGCAAAACTGCCTCTGAATTTTCTTTCTCCAACTAAGCACCTCATATCTAGGAATGTATCCCAAAGACAATGAGCAAAATCAAGATAGAGCATGTGCACAAGGGCATTTAGTGCAGCACTGTTTGTAGCAGGAAGCAACAAGAAACAACCCAAGTAATTATCATAGAGGACTGAGTAAATAACATGGTCCATTAATAGAGTGAAGTACTACATAGCTGTAAGAAGAAAGGAGGAAGGTTTCCACTCTAGGAGGGGCATGTCTGGGACATTTTAAGTGATAAAAGCGAATATGCAGGATTGTGTAGAGCTACTCCCTTTTATATTTGTCAGATATAGAGGAAGAGTGTGTGTGGGCGTGTTAGTGTATCTGAATGAGCTTATATTTGCAAAAGAAACAATGAAAGGAGAGAGGAATGAAGGTGATTGCTGTTGGATAAAGTGATTCCCGTTGGATAAAGGTATCCAGGGATGGGACTAGAAGGTTGGTCTCTCTTAATGTTCCTTATTTTGACTTTAGGACCATGTAAATATTTTACCTAATTTAAAAAGAGAAATACTGCAAAGAATTCAAATTAGGATCTCAAAGAAATATTTGCACATTCATGTTCACTATGGTAGTATTCCAAATGGCCAAGAGGTGGAAGCAACCCAAATACCCATCTGCACAAGTGGATAAAGAAAACGTAGTAAACGTATGCTTGGAATATTATTTAGCCTTAAAAAAAAGGAAATCCTGTCATATGCTACAACATGGATGAACCTGGAGGATATTATGCTAAACGAAATAAGCTAGTCACAAAAGGATGAATATCATATGATTCCATTCATAAATCATAGAAGCAGAAAGTGGAAAGGTGGTTTCTGGTGCGAGCTGCATCCCGTGCTGCACAAGTGTTCGAAGACCTAAGAGGGAATGGTGGGGGATAAAGAAAGACACAAACAGAAACATAGAGAAAGCAGGGCCAGGTGGTCCAGGAGAATGAGGATGTCAGGCTCTCCGGCCCCAATCTGTCTCAGGGTACTTTATTTTACATATTTACAAAGCACATAGCAGAGGGAGGGTGCAGTTACTTAGAACAGCCTGTGGTTATTATTCTCATGCTTCAGCTAACAACTATCTTGCAGCAAGGTCAGTGAAAGCTGGTTATCTCTCTAGGCCTGTCTCTGTTCTACTCTGAGACATACATATCCTCCTATTACGGTTTCACTTCTCTGGAGTGCACCCAAAGTTCACAGCAGCCTTGCTGCTGATTCCCCTAGAGTGGGTGGGCAACTCTGGCTCTCTACTGTGATTACCTAGTTGGGAGGAGGAATTAGTGTTTAATCGTTATGCGGTGTCAGTATTTTAAGATGAAAACGTTCTGAAGATCTGTTGCATACCACTGTGAATATACTTAACACTTGTGAACACTTTTAAAAGGTTAAGTTAGTAAGTTTAGTGTTACTTGTCTTTTACCACAATAAAAATCCAAATAAAAAAAGCATTCACTAAAAATTGAAAACAGATTGAGAGAAACCAGCTGTATGCATCAGGTAGGTGTTAACTTCTCATACAGAGAAGATGATTACTTAAGTGACTTTAAAAGACAATCTTTTGACTGTACAGCTGTAGTGGGAAATATTTATATTGTTACTTGAAACTGTTATGGTATGTTGTAGGAACCAAGATCTTGAGTATACAAAAAGAGGGGAGTACTTGAAGATTCTGGATTCCAGAATGATACACCAAACAAGAAAGCTCCCCAAAGTGTAGTGGGTCACCTTCACAGATTGCTAGGATACCACCTTATTACTGTTAAAAAAAAAAAAAAAAAAAAAAAAAAAAAACCACTTTGATCATGTCTTTCTAGCACAAATTGTATTTGAAGATAATCAAATAGCTGATGAGAGAAAGTCAGTAATCATGGAGAAATCAATGCAAAAGGAATGAAGATTTAGAAAATGAGCATTATAAAATTCCTGATGAGACAGTAAAGCAAAACAGTCATCAGTGGTTGTTAAATCCATCAAGTAACAGGTTGTTGGAAAACTTTCATGGATGAGGCTGACTTGAATGGAGGAAATACAGAAATGAAGAGAGAAATGAAGCAGTTTGAGACATTTTTCCTAGAAAGATGTATCTTAGCTGAAAAATTTGCAACAGCAACAACAAAATAGTTTCTGCACCCTGTTTTCTAGCACCTGCCCACAGTGAACTTGGATGCATCCTTGCAGGAGGGTCCCTGTCTTCCCATGTGATAAAGGCCTGGGGCCCAGTCCAACTAAGTCCATCCCATAGAACCCTCCATTCCTTTGCCCTTTGGTTCAGTGTGGCTGTTGGAGTGGTCTGAAGAGAAAGACCATTCCTTTGAATATCAAATGTCAAAAGATATATATATATATATATGTTTTTGATTTTTCAAAAGTGAAACAAATTTACTAGTGCTTAATTAGATGATCTGGGTAATAATCATTATGTAATTTCTGTATAAATATGCACATATGTTGAGGATATACTCAAACTCCTGTGTGCTTAGATGGTGTTCTACCGATGAGATGCACAATGAAAAGCTTGGAGACTGCAGAAATAAAGTACTACACTTGAGGAATCAAATCTTCAGGTCTAGCTGTCTTACTGTAAGATGTAGCAGTGTTATAGCTCCTGTACAGACAGAGAGCATGGGTAAGGCCGATCCAGAATAACCCAGTGGGAAGATACACCGTTGGGGATGCATCTTCAGGAGCAGTGAAATGAAATACGCTGGACCAGAATGTGTTTGCATTCTTAAATAT